CATGAGGTGTGCACAATGGACCAACAGGTCTGATAGCATGGGCATTATGTCCACCTCACTAATAACTAAAACTAAAACTATTATACAATTAAATAATTTTTTTTTTACAAGTAATTTATTGTGAGTGCTACAACTTCCGTGGAAGTTCCTCTCCATTATTGTATTTTGTATCTTATCTATAAATTAGATGTGTAAGTTAAATAGTGAAAACTTTCGATAAAGAATTTAGAAATCAAATAATAACTTTCGAAAGAAAAAATTTATGACATAATTATTTAGGTGTTTTTACCCTTCAAATAACCTCAGTACATTGAAAAAAACAGGAATCTTTTCATTCCAAATATTTCATTAGCCCCTCCAAAGAATAAATATTTTTATTGTATAAAAATGTATTTTAGAATGAAAAAAAAGAGCATTTAATAACATATTCTGAAAAATGTAATAATTAAATTTTCTAATCGACATTTTAACTAATAATATATACTTATATCAACATTTAAAACGTAAGATATTCAATAAAAGAATATCAAAAATCAACTATGAAAAACTCCCTCAATATAACATGAATAAATATTAATATTATTATGACAAATATTTTAATGTTAAGTATGCATTAAATTCATATTTTATTTTTATGTAACAACTCTTATTGTATCTTTATCTAAAACTATAACTATTTACACAGCTTAAACAATAAAAAAAATTCTTTGAATATAAAATAAGATTTGGGTAATGTTTTTAATAATTATGTAAGTTAGATAGAACAAATAATTTAAAAAATATTTTAGCAAAAAAAATGTATTAAAAAATTAAAAATTCTTAACATTTAATAAAATTTTAATTGTATAATTTTTATTAAAATTTTTATGTAAACTAACTAATTTTTATTAATCTATTAAGCTTTTTTTATTAAACTAAAAGAATATCTAAATATTCTTACTTAATAATTTTTTGTATTATTCTTTCATTTGAATACTTTTTTATTTTTTGAATATTTAACGAATTAAAATTAAATTAATTTCTAGTATGAAATTCTGGAATTTTAAAATCATGTTACTAATATCCATGAGTTAAATAATGTTAATTTTAATATTAAATATTTGCTCAATTTAAAACATTACATGATACAAGATTTAAAAATAAATAATTAAATATTATTTGCTATGGTTAGCTAATTGAGTCCAATTGAAAATTGGATGATGTGTTGCTTAGGGGTTGTCTTCCCATTCACAAAATGTGTCTTAAATTATGGTTGTTTCTATGTTTGCTCATAAAAATAAAGAAAATTAGATCCACATGAAATAATTTATAATCCTACAATTAATCTTTTAGATTATTACATTTTCAAACAAAATTTGACAACTATTTTTTTTAAAATCTAGTATAAAAGAAAAAAAAATCTATTTTTTTCAGTTATTTAGAATGCGCTTTTATTTAGACACGCACATAAGAAATTTTTGTAGAACTTTTTGTAGACATCCTTTAATTATTCGTTTATTTATTAAATTATTCAAGTATTATTTATAAAAAAACTTGTCCATTTAAAATATCATAAAACCACTATGATTTATATACCATTTAAAAATAAGAATGTGAACACTTTTAATATGACTTAAGACAATTCTTTAACGACTGTTTAAAATATCCATGAGTTTTTTATATCTTTAAATGATATTCTATTATCATTCTACTCATTTGCACGTATATATTTGAAATATTATTATAAATTCATTGTGTGGAGGACTAAAAAAAAAAGGAATTCTTCATAAATTATAAATGTACTGTACTTAGAGTAATTAAATCAATCATGTTACTAAAGTACAATTCAGTTGACCAATTAGAGAGCGGATGAATAAACTGCTATTTACAAAAGAGTAGACAAACTAAAACTATTTGGATATCCTAATTATTATTTACAAAGAAACCAAAAAAATGTATCTATATTAAAATTTCCAAATATATTTCAATATAATATTATTTTGATATATAAATAAATAAATAACATTAATATATTACTTCACTAAATAACACTTGGAATTGATATAACAATTTTTTTATTGAGTAAAATAAACAATCTGTATAATAAGTGATAATTAATACAAAAAATAAAGAGTGGACAAATGATAATAAGTCACCCATTAATGAAACTTATATTTAAGAAATTTAATTATTTTGTCAATAAGTCACGACACTATTGTCTCTTAAGTTAACGTCTAGGACTGCTTGGTATTGCACTACTGTATAGATTATTAATAAGAATATTTTAATGATTTTTTAATCTGGTATGAAAGCATTTGAAAATTGGACTGCTTCTTCTGTTACAGTTTTTATGTGGCAATGTTTATACAAATTATAGTTTGATATATAAGGTTTTTAATATTACACGTCTTTTTCGTACCCTGTAATTGGAGACTAATATCCAAATTAGTTTAATAAGTGATATATAAATGAAGATTTTGGTTTTTATTTTAGTATGCCAGTTGTTTATTAAAAATGGCCATAGTAAGCGAAGGCGTAAGTTTATAGAAAGTCATTTTAGAAGAATATGAGTACTTTATGTTGATCGTTTGTTAATAGTTAAACCTAAGTATTTAATTGTATCAGAGGTAGGAATGAGAATATCAATTTAACTATAATATAAAAAAAAATATTGGTAAAATCAATTGAATTTTCTTAAAAATAAATTATATTTTATAATTTTAATAATATTATCCTAGTAAAAAATTAGCAATGTTATCAATATGTCTAAGTTTTGATAATCTATCTTTTAAGAGTTTCATGAAAAAATATCGAATAATAAATACAAAATGAACTTTAAATAGGTAATACTATTCGTGACGATCATCATAAATACTTAAAGATTTTATGTTCCAACATATGGCTAAGGTTAAACTTATTGTTTTGCATATCGTGAGATTTTTCACGTAAGTCAAGCGTTAAAAAGAGATTTTAGAGTCAAAAATATTAAGTTTGCTTTTGCTTAAAATTCACCTTGACATTCAGCGTACTACTATTTTTTACAATTGACCGCTTATTTATTAAATAAATATAGCTTTTTTAAACTCAAAAAGTTCCATTTCAAAATGTATTTCAATTATTTAATTGATTTAAATTAAAAAGTTTAATCATTGTAAGTTTTGAGAAATAAAAAGCAACACGTTAATTTATGGAGTAAAACAATTTTTGTTCTGTAAACATATTGAAACGCTATCTTTTCATGATTACTATAATATGGAGGTGTGTAACTTTTTCCATGAAAATGTCTTATACTTTTGNGAAATACGTATTGAGAAAAGGACAGAAGAAAACGCTATCTTTTCAATATACTTTTGAATGAGAGTGATAAGTAATAATTGCCTTATCTAATTTCTTATCATGGTATTAATGCCAAGTTTGTAATGTATACACATTATCATCATAAGAGATAGCGTTTTCTTCTGTCCTNTGAAAAGATAGCGTTTTCTTCTGTCCTTTTCTCAATACGTATTTCAATGTTTAATACCGTAAAATAATACATGAAAATTCAAATTTTCATAAACTACAAAACGCTACAGAATATTTACTACTGAATATTAATAAGATATTTTTTTACTAAAATTTTTCTTAAATTCTACTCTACAAAATAGCTATCTTAGATTTTTTTTTTACATTTTATTTAAAATTTAAAAATAATTAATATTTTTAATAAAATATTAGATATAGCTATAGACCTAACATATAACTATTATTTAAAAAAAAATCAGCTAAAAATATTAACTGGATCAAAAGTTATTTAAGTTGTCAGTGAGTGGTGGGCCACCCTGTATATACATTAACTTAAATATGAAAATAATTCAATATCAATAGATGGATAATATTTCCCAATGACTAATGAATAAATAAAATAAATCGAATTAAAAAAATCAAAATGAACAACATATAACATCATTTTTACAATCAGAAATGTAACCAAGCAAAAGGTAGACGAATAAAACAAAGGATAATTTGTAAGGTTATGATATTAAAAACTCATTGCACGCAACACACTCATTTTTATCTTTTCTTTTGTCCGCTAGCTTTACATTTACTTTTTACAACAAATTATACAGATATAATCGGACATAAAATAATTAGTGGCTTTTATCACAGTTTCTAATGATCACGTAATTTGAAAGAATTAAAATTAACTCAATGGAATCAATATATTTTAAACGTTTAATAAATTTATGTTGAAAAATGCAACGTTATTTATTATTATATTAAAACTATATGATTTTAAGTACTTAGGTACCATAGAATAGTATATTAAATAATATATATTCTTAATGATTGAAATATAATGAAGAACATAAACATAAAATGACATATTATGACAATATTCCGAATTAATATACTATTTTATGTGTAAATTTACGATTGTGCTATACGAACTATCAAAATCAAAAGATAAAGCAGACACGTTTTACTTTAACCTCATCTGAAATTCACTTACTCGGTAAGACAGAAAAATGGAAAAAATAGAAGATGTGTGTAAAGTATAACAAATAAGTGATTGTTTTATTTTCGACTTGAAGGTAGAAATTATAGAAAAAGGCAGTTGACACTTTACAATTGATAAATAAATATAATAAAATTTATTCATTTGTAAAATATAACTAGCAAACATAAAATAGTTATTATATTTTTATTTTATTCCAAACATAAGGTAAATTTTATTCTTGTATATCTATTACTAGTTATACTTTATAAATCAAAAAAGTTTATAATATAAAATCTTTATCTCATTTTAATTATTAATAAGTTTTCGAATCATATTAATTAAGTTTTAAAATATTTGAGATAGCTTATTTGTTAAATATTAAACTAAATTTTTCCATTTTTAAGTAATAACAACACTCATAAATCTTTGATTTTTAATTTTATCTAAATTTTTAAATCAATTTGTTAAATGGAAATTAATCTTTATCTAATAAAATAGCGTTTAAATAATTTTATGAATAGATTTTTGAAGAATAACTTACCATAATTAAAAATACAGTTTCATTCATGTAATGGAAAACTATTATTATAGTTTAAATAGATTCTCACCTGAAAAATATTAATTAATTAATTTAATCAAAAGCCAATTGTTAATTATAAATATTTATGTACCGGGTAACTTATAATTTTGTATGATTACTCGGATATTTGGTTTGATTTTGATAAAAATCTACTAACTCATTTTAAATAATACTAAGAAAACATTAATAAGTCAATGAACGATTTTTTATATATAAAGTATATTTTGATACTAGCAGAAATGAACAAAAAGGGATAAGTTCACATAAAAATGGTGCGTCTATAACTTATGCGAAAAATTACAAAATAATTATTCAGTATCCAATTGAAATTTCCTCAGTACGTCGTCTCATCACATGTTGTAACGTAATACAAAAATATAATTTAATGTATTAAACATTGTGATGAAATATGTAGTAGCTGAAAAATTATAACAAACACATGTTTGGGTAGGTTTTCAACTTTTTAGAATTTTAAATTTATAGGCTACTGACACTATGTAATAAAATATAACGCTAAAACTGTAAATCCTACGATCTCTTAGATGTATCGTAAAGACAGCCTTAGTTGACCAACACTCTTATTAACCTGTGAATAAAAAAAAGAGATTTTGAAATGAATTTTTAAGTAACCTTTGAACAAATAAATTTTAGTTTTAATGTGTAAAACGTTGAATGGTTGAAAATTTATTCTGTAGATAGAAAACTTATATAAAATTGATAAATGGGATTACGCTGAGTATCTTTCTACTTTCTAATTTCAATCCAAATATTACTTATAATACAAAGAAATACTTTTTTAAATGAACAAATCAATGTATGAGTCACAATAATTCCAATCTGCGTTTATATGTCTCCTCTGGGATATATAATATAGAAAATCATTTTTAAATTATGACTAGCAACTGTATACTGAACGCAATGAATAAAAAGCCGAATGAAAATTAAATGATGTGGACCTAACCGCCTGTGATTATAAATTTCAATTAAAAAGTAGTTTCCAGAATTGAAGTAGTAACAATGCAGTAATTGGTCATTATAGGAAAATATTGATATTATGAAATCGTAAAAGTAAATGCAATGAAATTAAAAAAAGTTCCGACAACATATTTAACAAGAAGTAGGTAGATAGTTGGAGTTACACGTTCGTTATTAGTTATGTTTTTATAGCTGTCATTTTGACTCGGACAAATAGTTTTATTGCACGACAGCTATGAATTTATTTGTGTGTATTTTTTATGGTTTACTATTACTTCGAGAAAAAATATTCATTATTTTCCTTGGAAAATATGTTTGTTGTGAACGACGTGTTAAAGAAAAATGTCTTTTTGTTTTTAGTCTTAGAAGTGTTTATGCCATTTTTCATTTCAGTAATTTTGATAAAATTTACTGATTTTGTAATGCTGAACATATTTCTCAACATCTTAGCTGCCTGTAAATGCAATTGCCTCAATTATTAACCACATTTGAGAGTTGCTTTTAACGCCCTAGGCCTAAACTTCAACAACTGTTGCAACTACCATTATCACTTCAAATTAGCATCATATTTAGTTGTACATCCTTTTCGATATGATTGTGATATATTTTATTATACTCAATATTATGTAAAAGTCTTTGGTGCCTCAATATCATTGGTTTTGTTGAGTAGGTCATATACTTTTATATATTATCACTTTACTCGTGATTTTTAATTATGAAAAATCGATTTTTTATTAGCAGAACATTAAATAACTTTTGAAATAATTCCAAGTTATTGTTATCAAGTCAGATTTAAAAATCTAAGCTTAAAAATAGATACGAATATTTTAAGAACGTCATTAAAATTTAATGTTCCAACTTTTACTACTTACTAATAAATAAAGAACAAGCACTGTGGTTAAGTTAACGTACATTGAAAGTATAATAAAGCCATTTTATTGTAACAACTTAAACAGCAGTTTTTTTATATTTCAATAACCCGATAAAATTCATTTTTTTATCCAATCCGCTACAGCGCTGCTAAAACACGTGTACGTAACTATTAGCACTTTTAGGATGTATTTTTTGCAATAAATGTACAAATCAACTTAGAATAAATGTTGTTAAAGTTCACAAATTCATAGATAACTTAAACCCTTTTATGTTCATTAAAACAAGAATCTTATGATAAACTTTATTTATTGGATATTTTTTACTAAACAATCCAATGAAATTTCGCGTAAAATTTTATTTTATACAATTAACATCAATATAATTAGTGTTTCATATCCAATTATTTATAAATAATTGGCTATTTAACAATTTATTAAAAAAATAAATTCTTATCGATTATTTTACAAACTCTTGTGTTATTTTTAATAAAATCTTCTAGATAATGATTTTTCAATTAAAACAAATAGTATCATTACATTAAAAAAAATTGTCAATAATTTATCTAAGACGAACGCCATCTATTAAATTTTAACCTTCTGTTGAATTTACACTAACGCTTAAGTATGTAGTACAAATTAATTTCGAGATATGGTAATGTAATAAAGTTTCACAAATCTGTTCAAACTTAATGATTTAGTTTCTATAAGAAAGTTAGGAGGATATTTTACAAGAAATTTACCAATAATTAATAAAAGGATAAGGAGTAATTCTGGGCCATGTTAGTATAATATTAATTATTATACATTTAGGTTCTACAAAACTTCAAAGTAAAATTTGATAATACTAAAACTATAAGCAATTTAGAAGTATTCCAGTACGTCTTTGAACTCTATTTTTTATCATTTTGTTTTAATAAAAGTAGTATCATTAGTTCATAGTTGGAGCATTCATTTAACGCGTTCTTACAAGACAGTAATAAATGACAATCTACTTTTTAGTTGAAAATTTGTTAAGAATTATTAACATTAGCTTATAATTCACTATCCAAAATTTATTATATCTATAATATAAATTATAGTACCGTAATTTATATAACTATAGACAATTACAATGTATTTTTTTTAAATTAATAATAAATTGTATGTCAAAATTTATATATATTTAAGTTAAATTTATTAAATATATAAAGGGTGTTAACACTTCTAATATTTATTTATGAACAATAAATAGTACAAACTAGTTCAATTAACACGCTGAATTATTATATTTTAAATTATAAATCTTGTTTTATACCTATTATTCAATAATACAATAGGAATTTTCATACGATATATTAAAATTTAACTTTGCTATATTTATAATTGTTGTTCTGTGAGCTGTCAAGTACTAATTTTAGCAATGACAGAAACGAAAAATGTTTTTTTATAATTACACAAGTGTTAGTGTATTTAAAACTAATTTTAATGAAGCAAAACTTTATATTTAACTAGATCAAATTAGAAAGTTTCACACTTGGAGAAAAATTAGAAATTAGGAAATTTTTGTTAAAATAGTAAAATTTATTGACATAATTTCTCAGAAGCTATTTAAGTAATTTGGGTTATCTTATTAGATGTCTTACTCTTGTGGTTTATTTATTTATGAAATAACGTTCAAAAAGAGCAAAGACTACAATAATTAAAATTATAAAATTTACGCATCCTCTAAAATTATCAATAAAATACTTGTGTTTTAAAAAACACAAACTTGGTTCGACTATACAAAACAAAAGCGTAAACAACTAAATATTTCTTTTCATTTAATTTGACCAATATTAAAACCCAATTCAAGCTTAAAAATAAAATTTTTATAAATAAAACAGTGCAGTCTTATAGAATACTGCTAAACTAGCAAATATACGTCCTATTTAAACATTTCAATCAATAACCTTAAGATGTATAACAGGTGTTACTTGTACAAATATTGCCCTTTACAATAACTTAAAAATACCCACTTTTAATGAACTCACTAAAAACCACTACAAAAAATTCCACACAAAATCGCCAAAATCATTTCATCAACTTTATTTATACCGCTTCTTTCCTTGAAGCATTTTTTTTCAGATTAAAAAGAAACGGGTCTAGAGTTTTATTTTAGGTCAAAGTCAAATGACTAAAAAATATATATATCCATTAATTCTAGAGTTTTGTTATTGGACGGTTTCTTATCATGAAATTGATGTCCTTATTAATTTTTGAAATCATTGTTACTTATTTTTTTTTGTTTATTAACAGATTGCAATATATTTTAATAAAAAAAAAAAATTAATAACATGATAAGTACAAAGAAATACAAGTAATTTTTAATTTTATAAAAAAATTAATTGAAGTTTTAAAAATTGAGCTTTTTTACAGTTGCAAATAGAAAAATATCAATTTTCCTACTAATTACGTTATTTTCCTTAACATATATTGACTGGTACATGAAAAGTAAAATTTTATTTAACAGGTTGGAACCTGTCAAATAAAAATAAATAAACATAAAATAACTTTATAAATAAATTGAGTGTAGAACAAATAATTGAAATGACATCTAGATTTTAAGGCACCTTATTGATTATTAATTAATCCATGTATTTAGCACACGTCTAATAATCGGCGACGCTGAGCAAGGCCAGCAATCTTGTAATCAGAGACAACCTTACTCAAATCAATAAAATTATCATATTTCTCAATTTTAAATATTAATATACACAGGAATCATTTTTTAGTAATATTTTTTTTGTAGCTTTTTGAGTTAAATATTTTTAACATTTTCTTTAGTTCTAAATTAATATTTTGAATATATTTTTAATTATAAATAAACTATTATCTATACACCAACTATGAAATTGGGTGAAAACAGTTTGGAGATTATTATAATCAACTGCTGTTGATATACTTTTATATATTATCATGTCATCAGCAAAAAACAAACAGTGCGAGTGGAGAAAACCCTCATTAAAGTCAGCCATAAAAATTACTAACAACAAAAGGGATAAATGTCCCCCTGTGGAATGTTAGAAGTAATATTAATAGTCGAAGAAATGTCATGATCTATTTCGATATGTCTACAGATGAATATATCTATTTGAAAGGTATGAATCAAACAATTTGATTAGGATTCATTACTCCAACTTTTTCTAATTTTTTAACTAAACTAACATGATTAATCGAGTTAACCCCTTTTGCATAAAATTAATAATTTCAACCTTCAATTTTTTAACGAATAAAGCTTTTACTAAAACAGAATTCAAATGATTATAATAAAATTTGAGCAAGTGATAATTATTATTACCATAGTATTAGTCATTGTTAGCATTTAATAAAAAAAACTCTAAAATATTAAAATAATGAAATTTGTCTGTATGGATGATTTTTTTAATACTAAACACTCAAATTATTTTAAATTAATAGTTTTTTTTGGCTTTTGTTGGTTAAATATGTATCTACATTCATCTATTATAAAATATTTTATATGTTCATCCTTTATACCTCATAAGGATGTCAACTATATTTTTCATATAACTACATACATAATAAATTAGCTTATAAAATAGAAATCAGCGTAATTGAAATACTGATTAGTCGATAACACCATTTGAAACAGTATTTCAGAAGTTATTAACAATTTAAAATAATAACTGGAAGTAAAGCACAGATGCTTTTATTTTCATCATTATATATTTCACAACCTTTCCTCTTGCGTAGGTATAAATTTGTCAATAACTCTCAAGTTAATGGTACTAAAGTTGTTATCAACCTGCCATTTTCTTAATTAGATCATTATCCATTGGAGAATATAATTATTTATACATGTCATTTGAAAACATATCATCCTTATAAAATATAAGGGACGAACTTTAAAAATCCTTCATTGATAAATTAAAAAATAACAAGGAACTAAATTAAATCTTAAACTTAGTGTTTATACCAGATTTAATAGTTAATTAACAAAGAAGCTAAAGCAAATAGCTATAAAAATTTTAACGTCATTATAACGTCGTCAATATATTATAATATCACAATCATATTATTTATTATTACTATTGTTTATTTATTTTTAAGTTATTACATAGTTTTATTTGGTCAAAAAAAACACTGTTTAAATAACATAAACTCGTACTTTTGTGAAATAATAAAATAAATATTGTAAAATTATATCTCCTGAGTTTATTTTTAAGCTTCTTAAAGCTTTATTTTAAAGAAAAGAAAAATTATATTTTCGCTTTGCGTTTACTGAAGTATTTTTTTTTCTTACATGACATCTAGCAAAAATATGCAAGCCAGAAATGTTATTACATGATTATTTTTCCAACTTGCAATTGTATAAGATAATTGTTGAGATTACAATTAAAATAATACATAAAAAATATCAATTTTGGATAAAACTTAGTTTAAACTAAGGGTCTAAACACAATATTTGTTGAACAGTCCAATCATTTTATCATTTCATTAACTATGTACATATATAATTTGTATACCTCTAATTAAACTGAATGCGTTTAATTAATAATGACTCAATGATTTCATAAGTATAATGTTTACGATAAAATTTACAATATCACAAGTAGTTAGTAGAATTGTTTAACAGGGTTGAAACTGTGTTATATCATTGCCAAAGAAGGTGCCAAACAGTAAATTCATTATAATACCATTAAACAAACTATAAAATCAGTTGAATACACGATTGTTATTGCTGCCAAAGACTTCTATTTATTGACTAACAGGGTGCAGCTGTATTAGGAAGCTAAGTAATGGCAATGAGTATATCTAACAGATATAAAATGAAAAAGTTTTTTTTATGCATTTTTGTTAACTTTTGTGAACGCAACCATGATCAGTGCTTTAAAATTAAAAGCAATTTAGACTATAAAAAAACACTAGGTTTGCTTTGGTTTTTATAGAAATATATTTTCCAAGCAATTCATTTAGTGTCGCCGATCAATAAAATCAGGCAGATGGTTCTTCGGATTTAAACTACTACAGTTGTTCTTTATTTAAACATTAAAATAAAAGCGAAAATTATTCTGTTACTCACCTCTACATCATTTAGATATAATGTTTACTGAAAATTTTCACAAAACACTATGTTATCTCATTAAAATCTAGATCTTTGAAGTACTCTTGTAAAAAGTCTGGTTTTATTTTAATATATTCTTAGAGCCTCAAAAAAGACGCTCTCGGGTGTTTTATAAAAATGAATAAGGATGAGTTATTTTTTTGTGAATAAAGACAGCCAATAATGGTGCGGTTTTTGTTCTCTAAAGAAAATGCACTGAGCATAAGTATAACAGTTTTATTAACTTTTCTATTGAACTTAATAATTAAGTTCAATAGAAAAGTTAATAAAACTATTGCTGACTTCCAAACGTCGTTAAACATAATTTTCTTTGTAAACCAAAATTTTCAGTTTCCTTAGTTTAAAAAATATTTAAGTTTTATTTTAATGATTATCATACTATAATATTAACTTAACTGTTATTTTAACTTTTTGTGTTATTTATAAACAATATTTTGCATCAAAGATATTTAATAAAAATACCTAAATAAGAAGATACTAAAACGCCTTAAAGTGCAACTGTGATACTACTATAAGTACATTCAAGTATGTCTAATTTTTTTAAGTTCAAAACATAAATACATTTTTTATCATGAAATTAATGATACTGTAGTCATTTCTTAATCTTTTACATTGTCTCGGTACAACAAATGGAAACTCATCATAATAACTTTCCAAATTACCATGTAAGGTGTTCACGTTATTTAAATGTTCATAAATTTATAAAATAAAACAAATATTATATTATAAACAAATTAAAACAGTTAATTCGTTTATTTTTACTTTTAAACAGTTTACTGAAACTACAAACACTGTGATACCAATATATTGCTTTTTATAAAAAAATATCAATAAAACGAGAATGCAATGTTTTTTAGAAAGTTATCTCATCAATGTTCAAATTTATTCCTACTCTAAAAATAGTGGTTTTGTAATTCACTCCCATTTGGTTTTCGGATTCATTGACTTTTGTTATTTGTGTTATTGTTTGTACAGTATATTTGAACAAAATAAATTACATATGCAATTGAGACAGGTCATTTTAGCATAAAAGCGAATAACACATAAGACGCCTCAAAAACAAATAGATAAAAATAATTAGAAAAACGGCATTAAAGGGAAAATTATAAATTAATTTTTAATAAAAATGCTTAAAGAAATATCGATTATTTAAGCATTTGTTAACTGATTACAATTTTTGTACGAATTGAAATTGCAATTCTATAAATCATAAGTCTTTGATAACTAAAAAATATCTTTTTGGAAGTGAAGACCCCTCCATTTAATATGCTTATAGATAAACACTAACATGTGCAAAAATCGTCTCAAAATATATTTGTATGTATATTTATATAATCACATTCAAATATTATTATTTATTTTTAAATAATATACAACCCCTACTTTATATGTTTACACTGTTCGACCAAAAATTGAAAAAAAATTAAAGTAGAAATATATTCTACTTTAATTTTTTTATATATAAACAATATAAAAAACATTGATTTTTTTACAGAAATAGGCATTTTTTTGCTAACTTTAGGGACCGCTTAGGTATAGAGAGCTCGTTCGGTTTATCAAAACTCAATTACTCGCAAAATAAATATAATATTAATAGAATAAATTTTGGTTTTATTTTCAGTAACTTTTTGGCCAATACTTCGGAAATTATAACGATTTTAAAATGTAGACTTTGAGCGAGGCACTGGGTAACTATTTATATCATTAGATATATCTTAATCGCACTAATCTTCCCGCCCAAGTGTAACAATTTCAATAACTTCCATAGTAATCGTCCAAAGGTTGTTATCGACCAGTAATTTTCTTGACTAGATAATTTTTTATATTACATTCAAAGGATCCAGGTATTCTGGAACATTTTCAATAATTAAGATAATAAATTTCTAATTTTTATACATATGGTTAGATTTAAAAAAAAATATGCAAGCTGAGAAAAAATGGCAACATGCACAAAAAAAGTTAATTATAATAATAATACATCATAGTAAAACCAATACCCTCTTAGTTTTACATCAAAGCTAATAAGACGGGTACCTAAATATGTTAAAAGTATCAATATTTTTGTTTAAATACACAGAACGGTTTATAAAAAAGTGAACTAGTGGAAGCTGCCAAGTCTGTTTAAAAAAATGGATCGTTAAAAACATAAAAATAAGAAACTTAAAAACTTTGTTTAGTTAGGACTTTTCCATTGGGAGTTAAATTATATTTAATTTTATTAAGCAAGTTAAATTTAAAAATATTTCTTTAAAATCATTTTTTGAATTACCTATAATTACTAATTATTTAGCTCGATAAAATTAATTATTTTGAACTTTTAACTTGCTATGAGAAATACATAACTTCTATATTTTTCTGCTAAAATAATCATTTAAACTGTTTATATTACGATTTTTTTATTTTTCTGAAACTATAATATTAAAAAATCGACAAAATGTTACACAATGAGATTGGATTTCTGATTACGGAGGACCTTTCTGAAACGGATTAGCTATAAAACAAATGAATTGGAACAATAAACTATAGATATCACCGACAAGGACAAAATATTATTTGTTTTGTAATATTTTCTACTGTAATCTCTTTACACCATTTACAAACCATTGGGTCGATGACTACGTATTAGAGAAAAACACAAACTTTTAAAAAGACTGCCAAAAATAAATAACACATGTTTCGGACACTCCCTTCCCCCAAAAGAGTAACTCCTACAGAACTTTAGATTTTTAGTGTGGCATTAATAAATCCATTATTATCTAATACTAAATTACCTATGCCGGTGTTAAGTAAATGTTGGGCTGTAGTCCAAAAATAACGATTAAACGGCTCAGCTACTGCAACGAAATCGTTTTGGCCTAAGGGCCGCGGTCCGAATCAGACGATTCGCATTATCATCAGTAGTCAACACGCGGATGCAGCCAGAGAGTTTTTGCGTGGGCCAAAGCAACTAGTCAACATCGGGGCCGGTTCGCGGATGGCCGTTGGCGATGACATAACTCTAAGGAAACCGCGACATGGAAAAAAAATATTGCACACACTCGGTAGATACAGAAAACTAATCGAAACCAAATTTAAAAAAAATACCTAAAGCACACGACAGCGGCACCGCCCTACCGACTACCCGGACTACGGTTCTAGCACTACCGCCCCGCGACTGGGCCACGAAAAGAACCCTTCGCGTTCGACCCGCAGCTCTGCCGTAGTGAATTCGGCACAGCTCCCTCGGACTCCGTCGCCATAGGACCGCGCTGGTAGCGCCCCGAACACGATACGGTGACGGCGGCGGCGGCGGCGGGACTTGCGTGAAAAACGTTTGGCGCGGTAACACGTACCCGTCGGCGCGGCGCCCGGCAATCTTCGGAGATTATATTATACGCCACAGGGATTTCGCGTTCCCTCTGACGTCCCGTTTTCCCCGCGACCGTTCGTGGCTGCTCTCGGACACGGCAGTTCAGTGTTTCTCACGTGACGTGGTCGAAATTTCTGCAATTTATTTCCCTGTATCACATGATGCGCCGTGCTCGTGATTAGAGTCAAGTGTACTGTTCAGCGCTCAAAATTAATACTTCCAACGGTCGACGCCCGGCCGAACATACGTCTTATTGGCATGAACCGGGTACCGAGTTCACCCGGCCCGTCGACCATTGCACCCAAACACCCATCGACTGACGAAAACCGGTACCTAAGAGGCCAAGTAAGCGCAGACACGCCCGGCTATTAACGGCAAATCGCCAACAGACGTTAATTATAAGAGCAAGTGTTGTTATTATGAACTCGGTTATTATGTGCACTTTAGTCAAAACTACATATTTTATCAATATATATGATGGCAGCCACATCATTCGACCTCGCAGTGTCATGCGTTTTTTAAGCATTTTTCCGTGCCTCTATAATAATAATAATCGTTAATGATAAAACGTGTCACATTTTTTTCACCAAAAACTAGTGATGATGTATAATGCCGAAGAACATCTTTTGTGTCACTACTATTTTTACGATCAATACACAATATGTTTTCCCATTTACTTCAATTAAGTAATATGATAGGAATCTACTGAAACAACATTTGGCCTAAACTCTATTTCAACAAATTTATTTGACTTTCTGAGTAGAACATTTAGTACTATGACAATATTTCATTCGGCACCTACACGCACTAAACATGTACAAAGTTTTAAGAGTTCAGCGAGTTTTATCTTATCATAGAAATTTTCAAAAGACATTCACCATAAATACCAAAACTTGGTATTGGACAAAATACTATTTGAACTAATTATAAATCATGACAATTAATCCGTAAATGCTTAATAAAGCCGTTATAATTGTATATATTTTGATTGAAACCGAAGTCTATACGTAATTAGTTAGAAACAGATAACGGAAAAGATCCTAGAACTTTGTAAATCATCAGTTGATTTTTATTATATAGTTTTCCCCTGCTCCGCTGTACATTTTTAAATTAATAATTCAGCTGTTAAGCTAACAACAAAAACAAGTTCGTACGAATATTTTATCTGTAGTAAATACGAGAAACGATTCGTTGTATTACATTCAATGTACTATATTTTTTATGACAGCGAATCCCATCGAAATAAGCTTATTTAATATAGATGAGTAGTCTGTAGAACAAAATGCATATCTCCTATATCGTCAAAGCAACCTGTAGTTTACTTATGCCGACCACAACAAGTTTTAAAGTTAAAGGATGATGATGTTCTAAAAAATGGACAAATTTACAATCCGTACAAATTTTAATTTTTCAAGTTAAATATTGATTCTTGGCATTAAAATGTAGAGTAACTTATCGTAATAAAGTCGACTGTTGATGCTCTTGAGAAATTCAAAATGAGGTATAAGAAGAACTTCTTAGAAAATTAGTTCAAGTTGACATTATTTATAATTCACTGTTTTGTAAAAAATACACTTCCATTCAGAAGTATAAGGAATTTTTTTAAACAAAAATTAACCAATCATTAAGTTCTTTGAAAGAAGTAATTTCTAAATCTTTATACCTCCAAAAAAAATATTTCAATGGGTCGTCATAATGAAGCACCGTAATAATAAATTATATATTTTACATCATAAAAAGTCGTCCTACGAATGTGACAGAGTTTAAGATATAANTTTACATCATAAAAAGTCGTCCTACGAATGTGACAGAGTTTAAAATATAATATAATACTTATAATTTATGTGATCGGTTTGATCAAGAAGATTTGCTACACAATAAAATAATTTTACACGATTTTTTTTTTTGGAGTTGGTGTAAAAAATCCCAACTGATTTTGAAGCAAATAATTATGAATAAAAATTAATCGATTAGCTATATTTTTTCTGACTATTTATTATTGTAACGGGTTTCATAGCCGAATATTAGTAAATCCTGGACCCCCAATGGAGTATGAGGAATTCTTTATTATGAATGTATGTTTTCTAACATAAACAAGGTCGGAAACAACTAATTGAGGTCGTAATTTTTTTCGACAAAATACTTATAGTTAGTTGTGTTGATGATAGTTTACCAAAAGCAACAAATGATAAATTGTTAATTCAAGCTTTTTAAAGTTACTGAGTCATGATACGCACATATTGTTTAAAATGTTATAAATTAGTCGGTGTTTTGTTATTTTAACTTAGATTTTTTCATCCCGGAAATATTTCTTTGATTTAAATAATAAGAAATTATTTTAATACGTCGTTTCAATTAAACGCAAAAGTTAGAATTTTTTTTACATTAAACCTTTGAAAAGTTAAATGAAAACTGTGTGTCTGTACTATAAATAAACGATTACAATTAAACAAAATAACTATAATATACAATTATTGTATAATAAACACATATTGTATAGTATGAATGATATAAAAATGTTGATAATGTCACGAAATCAATAATTATTTATACAAACAATTACTTTTATTTGTTCGTCACGGATAATTTGTGGGGGTCAACAAACGCAGTTCATAGTAAGTGAATCACCTCACGCGTTAGACTGGCCTATTGAGTTTATTAGACAACGCAATAAGTTTTAACTCTATTTTTGAAATTAAATTAATTTGACCTTTCCGCATTAGATTTTTTTTGTTCTATTTAACTGTCTTGCTAGAGGTACTAAACAAACTCACATGAGGTAATGATTCGATTGTGTAGCTTCCGACGGATAGTTGATGAAAAATTGCAGGTACTCTTGACGTTTTAATGAGCAGTTATTACCTCTATCGACCGTTTCATATATCAGTTTGAGTAACAACTAGTAAAAGGAAATAATAGTGCAACGTTATTGAAAGGAAACGTGTGAAGATTTTATTCGGCAGCCCTAATGAAGAGACCTAATAAAGTTCCATGATTGGTAATCAAAATAGGCGTTACATTTGACTGACAATAATCAAAATGTTGAATTACAATCTTGCACGACAGATAAAAGCTATACTTAATTTTTTCTCTTCATATTAGTTCAATGTTTATCTTGTTAACTTTACCGATATAATTCAAAATAATCAACTATTAAAAAATATTTAGCAGCTGGATGAGAAAAACTAGCGAAAATATATCGAGTTCTTAACCATTAATAAAAATGCTAATAAGTACAGCGAACCCTTTTTAGAAAATCAACTCAAGTCGCGCGTTTCAATCTATTGTCAACGACGTTTTTTTATAATATGATGTAGCATTATGTGCTTATGTACTCTTTGTGCGATCGTCAAATGTAATATTTTCGGCGTCTAACTTTGATGGCAACGATAACACGACTAATCGCTTTCGTGTTGCAATATTTTGGATTCGACTTGAAAATATCTTGACAAATCAGTTATTTTTACAAGAGTCACGCCATTATTCGAACATTCAAAACCAGCAGTATTATGTTTTACTTGTACAATTTTACTTCGTCTATGAACAGTTGATTAATATTAAAGAAAATTTTGTTTGACTTTTTGTGTATCGTTGTATTGTATTTACAGGTCAAAAATTTATTCGAAAAAAAATAAATGAATACTAGTTGGAGATTTTTTGTAAAACTATATATTATAATAACTGTAATTATGTCCATTGATAATAGTTGTATGTAGTTTTCAATTCTTCAATAGCATTAAAGTTCACAAATCTTCGAGAAGGATGATTATAATGCTGACATTACTAAACTTTATACCTATAAATTCAATAAAATATCTTGTAACTATTTTGTTCAATGTGACAGGTCAAACAGTTACGAATTATTTTTGAACCGTCTATCTGTATGCAACTATTTTATCATAAGTTAAACTCGAGCACGTTAATTGACAAAATTGTACGCACTGTAAAATGATAATTTACTGTCTCAAATAAAAGTCATTAGGGATGGCACCAATAGAAAATATTTTATCGTATCGAGTAGACAACTCAGATTGTTATGGTACAAAATTATTGAAAATTCACACAGATTAGCAAAATTATTCATTGTAATTACTCAACTCCGGATATTTTTTAAAGCTAAAAAGACGGGCCCGATAACGATTTATCAAATTTTGTTTATTTGTTATTTGAATTATATTGCATAGTTATAATAATTATAATGATGTTATCGAAAAGTTTTATTTTACCGAAAAACTCATTTTAAATTGCAATTCATTGATATGGACCCAAATGGAAGACTTCATTAATATTCAATAAGTACATTAAACAAACACTGGAGAGATTAAAATAAATCTCCTTTAAAAACATAATAACTAACATTTCTAATTAGCAAATATTAATTGAATCGTTAAAACAAAATGCTACTCTTAAGAATAAAACTAAATAGTTATAAATGCCTTGAGATTACGACTTGACTCAACAGCCATTGTTCATTATTATTAATATTTTGCGTTTCTATTTGCTAGCAGACCTAGAGGACACATTGCTAATTGAAACGGCACGTTACACGTGATCATGATTTCGGGTATGAGGCGGGTAAACGCAGCCTCATCTCGTAAACAACCGTTTTTTACGCGTCCATCACCTCCATACTCGAGATCAATCAGGCAACTTTACTGCGGCGACGACTGCACGCGGCAAGACACTCGGACACTGTTCGGTGGGACTCGCTACTCAATCGTTGCCGTTTACTGACCGCGCGCGTTCTTTTGCGTTCTTCTTGTGGTGGTCGCGTGCAGTGTTTTAAATTTTAATCGGAAATTTCACATTTTCCACCAGTGTATAGAATTATTGAGTAAACTATAAATATTT